CATGATTGCTTAGGGTAGGGATATACTTACCCTTTAATCACCTGAACAACGTCGCCTTAACTATCCCCCACATTTGTGAAAATTTAGATACTGTCACTTTACACTTATCATGAATCAAATACGCTAGTAAGCCTGACAGATCAGAAACAGCACTGAGCTAAGAGTCAGAACTCCAGCTTATTTCCTCATGAAATCCAGTTATTCCAATGTCAGTCCTCATTTTTTCTTTTCTTTTATCTTTTCAACATAAATCCTTCATTTGCCATGAGTGGGCCTGGTGTTCTACCTAAAAAACCTATATTTTGCCCTCCTCCAAGACTAAATCTCTGAGCTTCTGCTCATTCTGGAGAATGGAATCTAAGCAGCTGATCCTTTTATTTTATTTAATTAATTAATTTATTTTGGTATGAGGGATCAAACTGGGGACCTTTTGCTTGCAAGTCAGGCAGTGACACCACTGAGCTAAATCCCCAGACCTGAGCAGCTGATTCTTAAGCAGACTTTCTATCATTTCTGTTTAGCCCAGCTTTCTTCTAACATCACCTGATGCTTCCCACTCCTGAGCCTTATTCAAGATTCAGTTGTGTATATCAAGTTGCTTCATGACCTGCTTAGGGTTCCTGTTTCTCATGTCTGCCATTTGGGGTAATTTATTTTCCAGCTTTCAATATTTTATTGCTATTGTCTCATATGAAACAGAAATAGTATAAATCAGTTAGAAGCTTTTTTTTTTCTTGTTTTTTTGAGACAGGGTTTCACTATGTAGTTGAGACTGACCTGGAACTCAGTAAGTAGCCCAAGCTGGTCTCAAATTTGAAGTGATCCTCCTGCCTCAGCCTCCCAAGTGCTGGGATTACAGGTGTGTACCACCACGCCCGGCCAGTTAGAAGCTTTTGATTACTAATATTATTGGGATTTATTAGAAATGCTTGATTCTGAGAAAGATAGCTGATTTGAATGTGATTTTGACAATTTGATCTTCTGTGTTAAATAGAGGTAAAAAATTTGATAAGCGTTGGGAGTATGTGCTGAGGTGTGGGAACAGGGTAGAAGGAACAAACATTCTCAAATATTTTGTTAGTAGGAATGTAAATTGATGCAAACATTTTAAAATTCAGGGTAACAAAATATGTCCAAATGTTACAATTCTGCTTATAAAACTTGACCCATAAATACACATGTTGTATCAAAGTGTTCTATAAAATATTTTTGCAAGATATTTTTAAGAGCAAGACTTAAAAAAAAAAGACCTTAACTGTCAAAGAGTAGGAAATTGCTAAAATAAATTATGGCATGTCCATTTGATGGAATAGTATACAGGCAATAAAATGAGCGAGATAGATGGATATATTCCAACATGGAATATTTCCATGATGTACTGCCCAAAGTTAAGACAAGAAGGTATAAAACAGATATAGATTCTACTTCCTCTGAGTATCACATTCTTATGCACACCAGGAGGACTGGAAGCCTAGTATGAAAGACTTATGAACTGAATTATATGCCTTCAAAGTTCATACATTAAAGCCCTCATCCGCAGTGCAACTGTATTTGGAGCAAGGGCCTATATGATAATAACTCAGCTTAACTGAGGCCATAAATGCAAAGCCCTTATTCAGTAGGGTTGGTATCCACATGCAGGGGTCTAGAGTACAGGCCATGTGAGGAGACAGTGACAAGGTGGCCATTTACAACCCAGGGAACCAACCCTGCTGATAGCTTGATCTTGGACTTTCAGCTTCTAGAATACTAAAAATATGAATGTATTTAAGCCACCTGCTCCATGGTATTTTGTCATGTTAGCAGTAGAATAATACAGAAGGGAAACCTTTTCTTGATGTGTGGTGTTGTATATCATTTGAAGATTTTTGTGACTATAATTTTGCAACCAAAACAAAACTATAATAGAGGCATTCTCCCACTAAAATTGGGTCCAGTTGCTCAATTAATGTAAAAAGTGAGATAAAATGGCACATATTTAAAAATAGTAGGACTGGGGATTTAGCTCAGTGGTTCTGCCGCCTGCTTCACAAGTGTAAGGACCTGAGTTCAATCCCCGGTATTGAAAAACAAAAACAAAAACAAAAACAAAAAAATAAAAATAGCAAACATATACTTTACTCTTTTTGTGACTCAAATGTATAATTATACATTTGCTAAGTAATCCTGAAAGTAGGACCAGTATCTTTTAACTGAGCATGAATTTTGTGGGTAGAGCACCCTCTTACCTTTATTACAGATTGCTTTGCTTACAATAAGTAGAACAAGAACTTTTAAACATATTTCAAGCAGCTTGAGTGTCAAGTCAGTCTATGCAATTTTCTCAAGAGTTTTATAGATTTGCCTGACCCATATGAAGGTCTGCAGTAAATTTTGTTGTTCCTTTTTATCAACTTAGTTTTGAAAGAAGCAATGACCTTATATTTGAATTTTATAAGTTTAAATACTTAGGAAAGTACCTTTATGTATGCACATAACTTTAGTGTGCACATATAAACTGACTATTGACCTTTTGGTGCTTTTGTCTTCTACTGCCGTATACTGAAGCTCTCGTTACCTTTGCTGCCTTGTGGGTGCCATGTTGATTCTGCTCTGCCATCCTTGTTTGTCATCCCTGCCTTGGAGTTGGCTGATTATGGACTGAAATCTTGACAAACGGTAAGCCAAATAAACCACTTTCCCTTTAACTTTGGGTACTGGGTATTTTGTTTCAGCAACAAGAGAAAAGTAACTAACACAGAAATTTGGTGCCAGAGAAGTGGGGTTGTTGCTGTGACTTTACCTGGCCATGTGGCTCAGAAGCCTTTGGAACTAGCTTGTGGGAGGAAGAGTTAGAAGGAGAAAGATCCTGAGACATTGGCCACAGAAGTAGCTCTGGAACATCTTAGGCTGTTTTGTATTGGAGATTCTGGTCTGAGCTCAGGAGACCAGAAAGCTTATCAAGACCATGCTAGGGAGGTTTTTTTTGCTAGGAAAAAGGACTGCATTGGCTGTTGGACTCCACATGATGTGTGTCATGTCTTAGTGGAAAGTTTGTCTGCATCTTATTCACGTCCAGAGACTTTGCCTGAGACTGAGATTAGAGGTGATGGACTAATTAAACTTTGGGGAAGAAATTTCAGTGCAGTTGAATATTGAGGCGGTAGCATGGCTGTTAGCTTTTAGCCAGATCTACGTTGAGAATGAAGAGCAAGGGCCAGGGATTTAGCTCAGAGGTTCCACTGCCTGCCTTGCATATGCAAGGTCCCAAGTTTGATCCCCAGTACAAAAAAAAAAAAAAAAAAAAAAAAGAAAGAAAGAAAAAAGAAAGAAAGAAAAAGAATCGAGCAAAAAGCCCATCAGAATAATTTAAAGCATTTTGAATTTGGCCAGAGAGGAAGCTCAAGTAAAGCTGTGGACTGCAAAGATAGAACAGAGCAGATCTTGATTGCTGAGGAACTGGAAAACAGAAGAAGATAGCCTGAGGGCATCACAGGAAACAGCAGGACTCCACCCTTTGCAGTCTCAGTATTATAAAGGTGAAAGATTTTCCTTTGAGAGGAAAGCCCCAGAGCACCATGTTCCAGAATGGAGGAAGCAACTCCATGTTCCAGAATGGCGACAACCTAGGGAAGTTGTTCCAAAATGGCAGTTTAGGGAATTAGTTCCTCTGGATTGGATTCGGAGTGCTCAGTGATCCAGGCACTCAACCTCTACAGCAAGAGAACAGGAAGCCTGGCTACTGCTCCAGCTGGCAGCAGACCTTGATATCATCCACGTGGCACTGGTTTTAGGTGCATGCAGAATGGAAGAGTTTGGAGTCAGGGAGGCTTCCACTCAGATTAGAGAAGGCCTGGGAGGCCAGGCAGTGTGCTTCTGAGAGGGAAGTCTGTAAACCTGTGACTGTGAAGCCAAAGGTGCAGTGGAGATCCCAGATGTTTGAAGTCAGGAGCATGGATCTTCTGAAGAAAGCTGCAAGGAGGGAGCAGAGCTGGCCGAAGAGAGAAGACATGGGAGCTACAACTACTAGAAATGCCATAGGGTCAGAGCCACCCAATCCCTTTCGAGTTCATAACTTGCCACAAATTGCCTTGAAGGCTGGAAGTGAAACTGTGGAATGTAACATTTGGCCTGCTGGATTTTGGATTCACTTTGGTCCCCATCCTTTGTATCCCCCATTTTACCTTTTGGAATGGTAATGTCTATCTTGTGCTATTGAATGTTAGAAGTGTTTGACTTTCTTTTCCCAAGTCTCCTCTGAGATTTAAGGTAAACTCTGCAAGCCCCTGTACAAATGAAAAGAATGAAACATCTCATCCATCAGACATGTGTGACGGGTATTCTATTAAGTTCTAGAGACATAAAAATGGTCAGTGATGTTTGCTGTTCTCTCGGAACTCATACTCTTTCACAAAAACACAATTCTAAGTGTATTGATCAGCTTTCCATTACTCATAAAATGCTTTAGATAATCTTAAGAAAGGTTTGTTTTGGCTTATGGTTTCAAAGGTTTCAGTCAGTGGTTGCTTGATCCCATTGCTTTTGGGCCTGTTTTGAGGCAACACTTCATACCAAGGAGCATGTGGCAGCGTAAGCTACTTATCTCATGATAGCCGGGAAGCAAAGAAAGTGGAAGAGACTGAGATCCCACAACCCCTTTTGAGGTCAACACCTCCAAACACATAGGCCTTGGGGTTGCATTTAAGATCCAAACTGTAACACAAAGCAATTACTGAATTTGAATGAAATCAATTTTAGAGTCAAGTGAACAGTAGAATGAATATACCTATGGGAGTTCAACAGTAAATTAAAACCACAAATAGAATCAAATAGGAATGCTTCTACATCTTAAGAATAGCAATAGGAGGAAGTCATTACTGTTCCTAGGCATAGCCCTATCCCTGCAAGTTGTATTTACTAATGAGAAGGGGGCCAATTTTGTAAGACTCAAAGTCTCACTTCCACTCCACGGAACGTGAACAGTCGAAAAGGCCTCCACAATGCTGGGTCCTAAAACTCAGTGAGGCTCCGGGAGCTCAACGGAGGAATGAGAGTCACCCAGGAAGGAACACACCAGGCTAGTTGGTAAACAGACCTTTATTAGTCTGGCCAGATGGCACTCTCAGAACCAAGTAGCTCAGCGAGGCGCCAGCTCAGGGGCTGAGGTCCTTTTTATAGGGGGGATAAAAGGGGGGTTAACATTTTAAGCTTGCAGGCAGGGGACAAAGATACGCTGATTTGAGCTGGTGGTCAGTAGTCACATACTCGGCAGTCACACATTGATGATTAACAGATACCTATAGGATGGTTCAGAGGCCACCAAGACATTTAGGATGAGCAAACAGTTCGACAATTAACTTGGGGTCTCTACATATCTCATAGTCTAGAACCACTAACTTACACGTTAATCAGGATCCGGACTTCAAACAGTACAAGATTGCCTTACATTCGTAAGCCAGGGTTAGAACAAAGGTCGGGGCTATAGCTACAATGGGAGGGGGTTAGAGTACTGCCTCCTAGGCCCTTTGTCATTTAGCATGGGCTTATAAATCAGGTCTTACAATTTGAAAGTGATATTGAAAATGCAAATCAAGAAGAAACAATGGCAGAATGATGTCAGTGCAAAGATGAGAGGAAGACAGTTTGAGAATGCAAGATGGGAATTCTGGGCAAGATGGAGAGATGATCTGCTCTTGAAAACAAGAGGGAAGGAAACTGATGATAGATTTTGAAACATAAAAGAGAAAATAAACTTCTAAGATGGTTTCAAAGAGCTCAGTGAAGGTTTAGGGATTTAGCTTAATGGTGCGGCCCCTGCCTCACAATTCAAGGTCCGAGTTCAATCCTAGGTACCCTGGTACCCCACCAAAAAAAAAAATGCTTAGTGAAAACAGCAAAGTCTTTTGCTAAGTGTCAAGGAAGCAGTGATGGAATTGAGAGCTTTAGGACAGTTTGTTTGTTTGTTTTTTTGAGACAGGGTCTCACTATGTAGTTGAGACTGACCCGGAACTATGTTTGAAACAGATGCCTTAGCAAACATGCTTAGCAGCCTGGTGAACAAAAGAATGGTCCAGCAGCTGTGAGGATCCAAGCTAGATGGGACTGGTGATTTTTACCTGTTCCTTTAAATCAAGAACTTTCAGAAATTCAGCACTTGATACATATTTATTGAATTGACTCTAATAAAGTTTATTTTTGACAGGAAAAGACAGGAGAAAAAATAATCCAAGGAATGAAAGGAAAAAGGGTAGTTTAGCATTCCTATGGCTTAGGAAGCCTAAGCATTTTGCTTGCTTAATGACCTTTACAAAATCACTTTTTCACAAGTGATTTCATTTCCTATGCACCAAAAGGAAAAAAATAATTTCTGCCTCTTTATTGTCTTCTAGGAATATCATAAGCTCTTATTTAAACAAGACAATATATAGTTTCCCTATTTTTTATAAATTTACTTCTCTGCACTATTTTATTTATAGATTGCTTTGCAAGAGTTTGGCCTACTGGCATTGATTTTGTTTTAGCATTTCAAGACAATAGAAGAGTGAACACAGGAACATGAGCAAAAATGTATGCCTTACAAAAATAAAGGAATAGGGCTGGGGATTTAGCTCAGTGGTGCCACCACCTGCCTTACAAGCACAAGGATGTGAGTTCAATCCCTAGTACAAAAAAAAAAAAAAAAAAAAAAAAAAAAAAAAAAAGTAATAAAAGGAAACAGAAGTAGTTTGATTATTTTAAAGTTCAGAAGTTGATTTCATAATGTTTCCTGGAGGTACTTCGCACTTATGTTTTACTCAAAGTATAAATAAGCAAAATATTTTATTATTTTAAAAAAAGTGTTAACTGGAAAACAAGTTTCTAAAATGTCAGCATAGTAAACTTTAAAGTTTACGTTGGTTTGAATTATTTTAAAGAACTTTATTTTTTGAGATAGGATCTCGCTGTATAGTTCAGACTGGCATTGAACTCACTGGGTTAGTGGCATGTGCCACGATCTCTGGTTATTTTGAAGAATCTTTGGTACTGGGGATTGAACTGAGGATCCTGTACTTGCAAAGCAGGCATGGTGCCACTGAACTAAATCCCAGACACTGAAGAATCTTGATAGAGAACTCATCTTTATGTTTTGGTACCTGTTTACTGCAACATAGTATTAAGAGTATATATACTCTAGGAGATGTTCAAGTTTACATTTTTTTAATAAAGTAGAAAACTTTAATTGTTTATTGGTATTTTGTTTTTGGTACCGGGGATTGAACTTGGGTCCTTACCCTTGCAAGGGAGGTGGTGGAACCACTGAGCTAAATCACCAGCCCCAAACTTTAATTGTTTAAAGCAAAGGTACAAGTAAACATTTCAGATTATCTATCATACAATGTTATAATAAAAAGTTCCACCAGCAAAATGACATACATTATCACTTTGCATCTCTGAGTTATAATGAGTGTATCATTCTAGCATCTCTTTAGAGTGAAAAGAAGGGATGTATAGATCAATGGATGTAATATAGAAACTTGGACTGTGTCTTAGTTACTTTTCTCATTGCTGAGACAAAATACCCAACACACACAAGGAAAAGTTTATTTTGACTCACAGTTTGTAGAAGTTTCAGCCAAGAGATGGCTGGTTCCAATGCAGGGTGGCAAGGTACAGGGCATCACAGAGGAGAAACAATCCATGGCATGGTGGACAGCAAGCAGCCTCCCTTTCCCTTTTATTCCATTCAGGCCATACCCACACCAGGATGGGCCTTCCCATTATCCACATCCTATGCTAATCCAATCAGTGGACTAATTTAGTACTGCACACCTTTAATCCCAGTATCCTACACCCTAGATCCAGCCAGTTAATAAGCTTCACCTATGAGTACATGAGGCTTTGGAGGAATATCTAGATAAAAGCCATAACAGAAATAGCATTCACTTCATTTTTAACTAAGAAATTTTAATTAATTTCAGTAGAATTAAATGAAAATGATTTTAAAAACAACATTCTGTTAATGGAGAACAGCAAAACTTTCAAGCTAAAATTCATTGTTTTCATAAGTAAATCACTGATTTCACAAAATGTTAGTAGTTAATGTCTGACACTATATAATAGTCAAGCTGGTCAAGGAAGAACTTTTCCAAAACATAATTGGTATGTGTGTTTTACTTTAAATCTGAATATTATAGTGTATTTTGTAAATGATAAATGAGGGACTAAATGATTTTTTTATGATGCCAGAAATAATACAGTTCAAAAGGTCTAGACTTTATTTTCAGTCAAGGGCACTATCTGGAGACTAACAAGCTGTATCACACTCAGAGCTGAGGAAGCTTTTTTCTTTCAAAATAACCGGCCAGTTAGTTGGAATCTGATATCTTAGTCACCAGACACCGAGTAGATAGTATCTAGCAAATAAATAAATAGTTGAAATCTTCAACACTTTTTCCAAGACAAAAAGCATAATATTAGTTAAGTCTCTTGAAGTACTTTTTTTCTTTTTTCTTATTCTTTTTTTTTTTTTTTTGGACTGGGGATCAAACTCAGGGCCTTCTGCTTCCCAGGCAGGTGCTGCTCTGCTCAGCTGTATCTCCAGCCCCTCTTGAATTGTTTCCTTGAACTTAAGGTCCTTGTTTCATTATATCAATGCAATTTCTACTTTATTTATTTCGCTTCTTCTGTGGTTTCCATCTTCTTGGACTGTGTACCTACTGGATCCTTTGGCTCTCCATTGTGCAGATGGCCATTATGGACTACATACTACTTCTGATCCTATAAAACTAATAAATCCCCTTGCAAGCCAGGTGTGGTGGCACACACCTGTAATCCCGGCATTTGGGAGGCTGAGGCAGGAGGATTGTTATGAGTTTGAGGCCAGCCTAAGCTACATAGCAAGACTGTCTCAAAACAAAAAACAATAAAATTCCCTTGCATAATTTCATTATACATACATATGTATATGTAGTATATATATACATATGTACATACATGTATATGTATGAACATATAGTATATATACTTTACATACATATATAGTATATATATACTATATATACTACATATGTATAGTGTGTATATATACATACATATATAGTATATATACTATATATACATTTGTATAGTGTGTATATATATACAGACATGTGTATAGTGTGTGTATAGATATATATACACACAGACATATATGTGCATATATATATATCTATACACACACATA